AACATAGTTGTGTTGAGAAAATAAAACTACTAGACCAACAAAAAATATATTTTATTATTTAAATTTGAAATTGCTGTCATTTAATCAAATCAAATTTCAAAATATTTTTTTCTCAAATTTCAAATCGATGAAATACATTTTGTAATCTAGCAAAAATTGTTTTTCGAATCGCGTATAAATGATATTTTGAAACGGAAAAAATTCTTTTCTTGGAAATTTATAAATTCGCAAAAATTTGGTCATTTATAAAGTCAATTTGGGGGAAATCTCCTGCGGAGGAAGAAGACGCAAGGGAAACAGAAACCCAAAACCGGGAAGAAGAATCCAATATGAATTGTCGAATGGTATGTGGTCCTACGTCTAGCGGCGGTGGTAAATGTATGCGACCTGGGCCGGTAACACGTAATGGTTACCTAAATTTCCTACGGGAATACCGTCAAAAGAATTGTGGCCTAACAGCGGTGGAAACAGTGCGACAGGGAGCCATGGCGTGGAACAAATTGTCAGAAGATGAAAAAAATCGTTATAAACAAATGGTAAATATAAACGGAGGAAATGAGTGAAATGAATTGAAAAAACTAAAATGGTATCCAAATTTTTTTTATTCGATAGGGTTCCGGAGTTTCCTCTCGTGCGCAGAGAAGTTCATTTGCACCGCGCCGTATGAGACGTAGTGCAGCAGCTGCGTCTAGAAACTCAAGATCCCGTTCCACAACTCGCAGGGTCATATCTGGGCGGAGAGCCTCACGAAGGCGTCAGCGTATAACGACCCGCAGGAGAAGATGAATTTATTTCGAAAATTGAATTTTGTAAAAATCAAGTTGGAATTCGTGTAAATTTGTATATACAAAAAAAATAATAATAATTTAAATAAATAAAATGTATCTAATTTTATCTGAGCTTTCAAAATACGAACAAAGAAGAAGAAGACGGATATAAAGAAGACAGATGGCCTTTTGGAAGTCTTTTAAATACTACGGGTGTGAGGAAATAATATAGATATAAAATACCTCCAGAAAGACTAGATGGTAGTAGATAAGCAGTAGACCTCCTAATCGTATTCCCTAGACAGAATACTTCCTGAAGGCCTTATACAGACATAGAAGCCATCATATATAGACCAATGTGTCTCCTTGAAGTTCTTCAATAAATATAGAATATCTACTGAAGGTCTTCCACGGACGTAGACTTCTGTAGATATAAATACTCCTCATGAAGGTATTTTTCAGACATATAATCTGAGGGTCTTCTATTGACATGAACGTTTTCCTGAAGGTCTTCTATAGACATTGAAGTCCTCCTGAAGGCATTCTATAGACATAGAAGTTCTTCTATAGACATAAAAGTCCTCCTGAAGGTATTTTATAGACATAGAAGTTCTTCTGAAGGTCTTCTACAGACATAAAAGTCCTCCTGAAGGTATTTTATAGACATACAAGTTCTTCTGAGAGCCTTCTATAGACATAAGTCATCCTAAAGGCCTACTTGGACTCTGAAGGTCTTCTTGAGACATAAAAGTCATCCTGAAGGCCTACTATGGATATATAAGTCCTCCTGAAGATCTTCCTGAAGGTATTCTATAGACATAGAAGATCTTCTGAAGGCCTTCTATTGACATAAAAAGTCATCCTGAAGGGCTACTATAGATCCTGAAGGTTTTCTATAGACATAGCAGTCCTCATGAAGTTGCTCTACAGGCATACAAGTCCTCCTGAATATCTTCTATAGACGTAAGCATTTTTGGAGATCCTCTTTAGACATATAAGTATTCCTGAAGGTCTTCTTTAGACATAGAAATCCACCTGAAGTTATAAAAACTTCCTCAAAGTTTTCAATAGATACAGAAATTTCCCTGAAGATCTTCTATAGGCATATAAATCTTCCTGAAGGTCTTCTACAGACATAGAAGTGCCTGAGAGCCTTCTATAGATAATAGAAGACCTTCTGAAGACTTGGAAGCAATTTTGAAGTTCTTCTGTGGACATATAAGTCCTCCTAAATATATTTTAATGTCGGAAAAACTTCCTGAAGGCCTTTTGTAGACATAGAAGTCCGCCCTAAGGCCATAGGAGTCACCCAGAAGGTCTTCTATAGACATTGAAGTCGTCCTCAAAAGATTTTTATAGAAATAGAAAACCTCCTAAGTGTCTATTATAGACAGATGACCTTCTATTAACGGTAGGTATGTCTTCCAAACTATTTTCAATAGCGATACTGAGGGTATATAAAATAAAAACTATGTGAAAATAATAGATATCATAAATATTTTGAAACTCTAAAACTCGAACATAATAACTTAATACACAATTAATCATAAAATAAAAACAAAGAAATATGAAGACATATTACACCATGTAACCGATATATCATCAAATGAAAAAAAAACACGTTTTTTACAATTTTTCACATTTCATTAATCAAGCATGATGGTGTTGTTCATTGTTTTATATATCTTCCGACTCGGTTTGCAATAGACATGAACATAGCAGAGCTTTTGAAAGGTTTCGAAAGCATCAGACAAAATAACATATTGCTGCAGTTGTCGGCAGCAGCACCAGCCAGTCGCACGGAAACCCATTGAAATCTGCCAAAATATTTAACACAACAATAACGACAACAAAAGAAGGCATAAACGTATTATATAGAGAGAAATTAAAATGCCATAAAAAGTAATAGTTTTCACAAGCAAAAACAAAGCGTATGCACGCTAGGCTGGAAGCTAGTTTGGTAGGTAAATGGGCCACACAATGCAATCACCATCAATCGGATACAATTACCAGTGAAATAGTTTGCATGAATGACTGAGTGGTCTGACTGCTGCCTTTGGCGGGCGGACGGGGCGTTTTCTATGCTGTTTAACGATATATATGATGATAATTTGACGGGCGTTGTGGGCACAACAGTAGAGTGCGGAATTGAATGTGATTTTGGTTTTGACTTGTTCGTTCGCTCGCTCGCCTGCCTACCTACTATACATATAGACAACCGCAAAGCTTACTTTTGGTTAAGTTTAGTACACTATAGGAATATTAATTGAGTGATGACTGCGATAGTGATGAAGATGATGCATAACAAAAAATATGCCCACCACCATCGAAAATATGAAACTAAAAAATGTAGTTAATTTTTAGGGTTGTTGCATAATTGAGTTTTATAAATAAAAAAATAACTTATTTTCAGGGTATTCCAAATTTGGATATTGATTTTAAAGAATTTTAGCGGATATAAAACTCAATAGAACATCTTACGATCTACTATACACATAGATATCCTGATGGACTTCTATAAGCATAGAAGACTTATATAAGCAGAAGACCTTTTGAACTAGTCCTATAGACAGACAATTTCCAAAATATTTCCAAAAATATATTTTTGGGCTTAGAAGCTCTTCGAAATCTTTTCTTTCTTTCAACTCTAGGTATTGTATAGACGTAAAAGGCCCCCAGAAAAACTTTCATAGACATAGAGGATCTCCTGAAGGCCTTCTATAGACAGGGAGTTCCTTCTGAAAGTCTTCTATAGAAATATAAGTTTTCTTGAAGGCCTTGTGTACACATTGAAGATCCTATAGGTATAGATATCCTCCTGAAGGCTTCCTGTAGACATAGATGTCATTCTAAGGTCTTTCATATACATGAAAGTCCTCCTGAAGGTCTTTTACAGGCATCAAAGTCTTACTGAAGGGGTCCTATAGGTATATATGTTCTTCTAAAGGTCTTCTTTAGACATGGGGTCTTTTAAAGGTCTTCTATAGACATAGAAGCCTTCCCGGTGGTCTTCTACAGGCCTCATTGTCCTCCCAAAGTATCATGTATGCATAGGGGTCCTCCTGGAGATCTGCTATAAATATAAACGACTTCTTGAAAGTCTCAAATAAATACTGAAGATTTCCTGAAGATCTTCTATAGACATAGAAGCGAAGATCTAGTATATCTGCACTCAGGATCTTCAGAAACGCTTCCTGAAGATCTTCTATAGAAATTGAAGTCTTCTTAAGACATAGAAGTCTTCCTGAAACCCTCCTGAATGTTTTCTTTAGACATAAAAGTCCTCCTGAAGGCCTCATATAGATAGAGATGGCATCCTGAAGGACTTCTTTTGTCATAGAAGTACCTGAAGACGTCCTGAAGGTACAGTATATATAGAATACTTCCTGATCGTTTTATATATGCATAGAAATCTTCCTGAAGGTCTACAATAGCTATAGTAGATTTCTTGTAGAAATTCTATAGACATATAGCCCTCCTGTTTTATACAGCAGAAGACATCCTGAGGACCCAACAATAGCTCCTGTAACCCTTTTTATTGCTTTAGAGGAACTCCAAGTAGAAGACCATCTGTAGGTATTGAAAAGACAAAATATTTCTTGAAGGCCTTCTATAGATTGTGAATATATAAGATCTACTAAAGATATAGAAATCATGCTGAAGATCTTCGGTATTTATATAAGTCCTCCTGGAAGTATTCCGTACTCATTGCGATCACAGATATCAAATTCGAGTCCTGAAGGCAGTAACTACCTTTATTATGATATCGGAAAGCGCCTGAAGGCCTTATTTGTATGAAGTAAACCCTAAAGTACTTTTATAAAAGTAGGTCTCCTAAATATTTTCTTAAAATTATTATACCACACGAAGGTGTTTTAAAGACACGAACAGCTTTTTGGAGCAAAACCTGTTCCAATGACGATTTCAGTATTACGGTGCCTCAAAGTGTTTCACGCTTTAGTTTGCGCACTTTGTTTATTAAATTTTCACAATTTTAATAATCACATATTATTGTCTTCAAATTTCCCCTTCCAATCAACAAAGAAAAATTTTATACCCAGCTGGTTAACCACACCTAACGAAACAATTTGCAATAGTCGTCGGTCGAAATGACAAAACTATGTTAACCAAATAGGAAACACAAAAAAAAAACCATATTAAACACAACAAAGGGAATGTCACAAAAAAAAGAAAACCGCCAACTTCCTCGCATATGCTACTCTCATCACTTACCTCATAACTGACCACTGTTGCAGTACAGCCATAATCAATAATATCTATTTCCACTTTTGGCGGTGTTTGCGCTGCTGGGGTGGCTGTATTGATGACTTTTGTAATGCGTGAGCGAACAAATTCAAAATCTGCCGGTGCGGCGCCATTAATACGTTTATACAGACACATGGCACCCGGTAACAAAAGGGCCTGTTGTCTGGCGACCGGCCATGATGGTTCAATTGTATAGCATTTGGGTAAGATTTTTTGAACCTGCAAATTAAAAGAAAAGAAAGGAGAAAAAAGAAACATTAGTAGGGAAATGGTTAAAATTAAATAAAAATTTAAACGATATATAGTAAATATGGGATTTAAATAAACTATGACATCAAATAGGTGTTCTATAAAAGGGAGAAACTTAGTAAATATGAAATTGTTGTAATAAAAAATCATTACAGCCTAAATCAGTATGAACCCTTGTATTGGGTCTATGTAAAAACATGAACAATTTATATTTCATTCTCTGAGAATACGAAATACAAGACACTTAGGTCGGCTAGGGACTTCAACATGGCCGGAACACTTATAGGATGTATTTTATACTCTTAAAACCCGAAATGTTTAATAATACACACCACTTGAGAATGAGTTTAGAACCATCAAAATACAGTCAAAATCGCGTTTAACGACGGTCAAGGGGCAATCGATTTTCTCGGGAATTTTTGATACCGTCATTATAACCGATATGTTGTTATAAAAGATTTCGACTGTATCTGAAATGGGACTGAACATTTATGTGGGAATTAGCCTATATTGACCGATTATAAAATTCATGGAATGTTATAATTTATGGGATATTTGAGGAATGTTTCGATTTTATTTAGACTCCATATTATGCGTGCGGGTATTATAAGGGCGTTTCCATATAAAAAAATAATAATGTGTAGTGTTATTTCCCTGTTCCTATAGACAGCAGATCTCTTATGTTTTATATAAAGTCCCAGAACGTCCTCAAAAAATAGAGAGACTGACGATGGTCTTATATAAAGGAAGCCCTATAAAAATGGAGTTTAGAAAGATTTTTTGAAGGAAGGCCTCCTGAAAATGTTTTTTTGTTTACCTCCCACCAAAGGTCAAAGGTCAAACATAGACGTGGTAATGAAGGTCATCTATAAATAAAAACAAGTAAAAAAGTGTCTGTCGGTGTTGCGTACAGATATATACACACAGCCTATGGTTTGAGGAGATCTTCGGAATTGCACACATGTTTTATTATTCGCTTTATATAAGGTATATCTTTTTATCAAAGAGGTTTAGTATTTTATGTTAATCAAATGGGTTATTCAATTAATTCAAAATTGCTATTACAAGTCTATAAAACATAAACCCTTAGTTGAGAAGTTATCAGAAGAAGTGGACCAATGGGTCCCATCTTGAGACTTGATCTAGGCATGGTAAATATAGTAGTTTGTACAAAGATTGGTTCAAATCGGACATCGCATTTGCTTAATATTGGATTTATAACTATTGAAAATGTTGACCCTTCATGGGAACGGTACCAGAAAGAGTGGACCAATAGGTTCCATTTTCGGACTTCGTCTAGGCTTGATAAAGATAATAGGCTGTGCAAAGTTTGATTAAAATCGGACATTCATTTCGCCTAATATTGGGTTTTTAAATATTGAAAATTTTACCATTTGTGGGGGAGTTACCAGAAGGAGTGTACAAATGGGTCCCAACTTCAAACTTGATCTAGGCTTGGTAAAGATAGTCGGTTTTGCAAAGTTTGGTTCAAATCGAACATTCAATTTGCTTGATATTGGATTTATAAATATTGAAATTTTATATCAGTCGTGGGAGATGGACCAGAAGATGAGGACCAATGGTTCCCAACTTCAAACTTGATCTAGGCTTGGTAAAGATAGTCGGTTGTGCAAAGTTTGGTTCAAATCGAACATACCATTTGCTTGATATTGGATTTATAAATATTGGAAATTTGTATCACTTGTGGGAGAGGTACCAGAAGAAGACAAAAGATTTCAAAAGACTTGAGTCTCTCTGGTAAATATAAAATAGGCAAATGACTTTTTTAAGAAGACATTTTAAAGCTAATATATACACAGAAGTTTTCCTGGAGGTATTACACAGATAGGTTATTCTATAAATAGGAAATACATAAGGGTTATTTTGCAAAGAGAAAACCTAACCTAAATCTAAACCCTAAAAGGCCTCCAAAGTTTTTTTTTTATTAAAAAAAGACCTCCAATGGGTTTTCTATATACCAAAGGAAGGAAATATGTTTCACAAGTAGAAGACATCCCAAGGCTATTCTACAAAAAAAAAAAAAGGATATTCTATAAAAAAATATCTCCAATGGATTTTCTTTAAATGGAAGTCATCCAAAGGTCTTCTATAAATAAAAATACCTCTAAAAAGTCTTCAATAAATATACACCTACATAAAAAAAAACCTACAAAAGTCCTTCTATAAATAAAATAGCTCCAAAGGCTACTTATTAAAAAAAAGACCTCCAATGGGTATTGTATATACCAAAGGAAGAAAATATGCTTCACAAGTAGAAGACATCCCAAGCCTATTCTATAAAAATATCGCTAATGGGTTTTCTACCAAAAAAATACTAATAGTGCTATTCTGTAACATGTTTAAATCGGCTTAAAAAGTATTCTATGCATATTCTATAAAGCACTTCAAATTTTCATTTGCTCTCGAGAGTATGTTAACATTCTCTCACACACATTCAATTGAACCAATTGAAAACACATTGACACACACACAAATGAATAAGTTGAAATAAATGTTATTTTTTACATTAAAAGTATGGGCTTTAATTTTACCGATATTTGTCAGTGATAAAAAAAAAAATAGTTACAGAATTCCACTACAAAGTGGACAAAGTGTCTTCTATTTGAGTCGTTTATTTTGATTTTTAGAAAAACATATAACATTATATATTCTATGATGCTTAACGGCACAAAGCCACAAACCAAATTAATACCACCTAATAATATTTTTCAAACCAATCAAACCCGAACCTTTAAATATTTTAATATAAGAAAAAATTTACATAAACCGCATTCAAAATACCCTTACTCTCTTCTGTATTCTAAATAGTAGCCCTTCATAAAGTTGTCTATCAATATTAGTGTTTTAAGAGCAATAGAAAGCCTTCAAGAAGCATCAATTATCTCTATGATGTCTTGTGACCTATATTCAATAATGTAGTCTTCTATATGTATAATAGGTTTTTAATATATCATTAATATGTAGAATTAGGTCTGGGCCTGAATATCATAGTGTAACAAATGGAATGATCTATTAAATATGCCATTTATTTCGATGAAGCTAACAGCTGTTTAAATAAATTAAACATTCTTTGTTGTTTAACAGCTTTTGGCACTTAATCATCATCATCAGCAGAAACAAAGTGTCTGGAATTGTGTCTTGTTGTTAAGCTCTTAATGATGTCATATTAGAGGTTATAATTAACAAAGGCCCCAAATTATTGAGAATGGTAAAGTACAAACAGAATATATTTATACATTATATGGACTAAACTAAGATATTATTACGAAGAATAAATAAAACTAATTATTGATCTTACCTGCATGCGCACTACATTCATGGCATCGGGATTTAATTGACCGCTGATCTTTAAATACGGTCCCAAGGAGTCGACGTGTGTTATAAAAAGACGTTGTTTGCGTTCATTGTTGCTGCCAGATGACCCGGCTGCTGCTGCCGCTGCTACTGATGATGATACGGAGGAGTTCGAAGATGTTGATGTTGTTGTAGCGGCACAGCCACCATTTGTAAGCGTTGGAGTTGTGTTTGTCGTCGTCGTACCAGCCGACGATGATGTTGATGCGGCGCTTGCAGTATTTAAACCCTGGGAGGTGCTCATTTTGTTGATGATAATTTCGTCTTGGTTGTTGAGAAATAGTTGTCGTTAATTTTTTGTTGTTTCAGTTTTATTTTTGGAAACTTTCTTTTCTGTTTATTGTTTTATTTTCTTTGAAGGCGTTACTTCTGTTCAATTAATCCGTTGTAATTGATAAAGTGAGGTAACAGAATATTTTTAATGCGTTCGTCAATATTAAGTCACGTTCTTTCACTTGACATGTCTTGCCAAGAAAGGTATGGATAGATATTCACGACGCCTGCCGCTGGGCTTTGTTGGAATTCCAGAACAGAAAACAAGAAGTCTCCCTCCACCAACAAGTATATTTGTTGTGGCCGTTTCGTATGTGTTATCCGTCGTCGATCGATGGTGCCGCCGTGGTTGTTGAGATTTTTTGCTGATTTGACTATTTTATTAGCGCGTCGTCCGAGTTCTGTTGCTGCTGCTATATTTCAGGTTATTTATGCCTCGTTCGCTGTTTTTCTGCAAGAAAAAAACAACAATAACAAATCACACAATGAGTTCAATTGTTGTTGTAAAGAACAAAAAAAAAACTACAACAAAAAAGTAATGAATGTTTATTGAAAAATGAAACGTTTTCTTGTGCCGCTTCTTCTCCACCGTTTGCTATAATTTTTTGCATGTTTTTTTCAGCGTTTATTTATTTAACACAAACAAAAAAACTAAAGTATTTTTACCACCATTCAACGGTTTAAATGCCAAGAAAAATAGCAAATTATTTAAGTCTCGTTTTTGTTGATTCTGTTTCGCCTTCTTGTTCTCTAATAATCTTTCTAGTTATGACTGGGCAGCCCAAGAAAAAATTAATTACACGGTTCAAATCTTCTTCCAAAGATTTCGTTTAGTTTTTTTTTCTCCTGCCTTTCAATTTAAATTCTCACAAGTCATGTCAAAAAATGTACCGTTTGAAAATGTTGAGTAAACGGCATTACCAACATTCATTGGAGATTAGAGCGAGCGAGAGAGAGAGTAAGACAAAGAGATGCATATGCAGCCTACTTTGATCAATCATGGGAAGAGTATAGAAAAAAAGGATAAATGATGAGAACAGTTAAGAGAGATTTGCCAACAACTATTTATGATTTTGTTCAAATTGTCAAAAGCCTTTAGGGTTTTTGGCGGGAAAAATAAGTGAAATTGTTAATTTAATGAAACTTTAGAAGTAAACGTTAGAAGTAAATTGGAAAAAAGAAAGAAATATAAAAATAGAGTATAAAAAACGTTGTCTCGTATTTCCAAAGGCTGTAATGTTTTTAATATGTAGTCCTAACCGAAAGAGGACACACCACCAACCAGTGTTTTTGAGACATACAACAACTGAGGTAGAAGTTGGTACATATGAATAATGGACACCTATTATCAAAATGAGTCGGATAAGTATGGTGAGCTTAGGGGCTCATTTTAGATGTTTTGTATTTTTGACCCATGTACGTTGATATTAATAATGGACACCTATCATCAAATATCTCCAAATAACAAAAGCAGAAAATGAATCGGATAAATGTGGTGAGCTTAGAGGCTCATTTCAGATTTTTTGAAATGTTGACCACAGGTAAGTATTTTTAACACAGTAATTATTCTAGAATATATTTTAAATTATCACATTCTTTCTTTTCAATTAACATGTTTAGATGGGCGCTCCATCAACATCCCAAAGTAAGAAAAGTGCCTTAGAAAAAAGGTTATAAATAACAAAAAGTATGAGAGGACTAGCAGGAAATTGAGTTTAGATGCTCATTTAAAATTTTCTTAATTTTGACAACAGTCCACCGCCAACAACAATGTTTTCAAATGTCTACCATTTAAGAAATCTGATTTCCCAAGCCAAGATTTAAACAATATGGCTCAACTTTTCGGGGAATTCCGATTCCAGGAAATTAAAGAGTAGCGATGACAAGTCGATGTCGGTTCCCGAAAATTATAACAAAGCCGGACCCAAAAATAAATTGAAAGTTCAAGTTGCTGTAAATTCTACACATGAGTCACTGGATTTGAAGCCTAAGGAATACAGCTCAGCAACTTAACAGAAGATAACCAAAGAGCGGTGATCATTGACAACATTTGATCCTGATTCCGATAAGCAATACATATCGATCGTTGAGACTGCTGTCATATCGGTCTACGAGATTTCGGGCGACGTTGTGGTTTCGAAGCGGTTGGAAAAGGCCATCAATGACAAGTCGATTTAATAAATTGAAATTGAAAGCTCAAGTTGCTGTAAATTCTACACATGAGTCACTGAAGCAGTACAGCTCAGCAGCCTAACAGGGGATAACCAAAGATCAGTGATCATTGATAACGTTAGATCCCAATCCCGATGAGCGATACATATCGAGCGTTGAGACTGATGTCATACCGGTCAAGGAGATTCCGTGCGACATTGTGGTTTCGAAGCGGTTGAAAAAGTCACTTAATATAATGAACGTGGGATTTAAAATAGTTTTGAAAATCCAAAGCACTGTCTTGAGAAGCCTATCTAAAGATGTGCCAGAGAAGGTGATATTCCGCCTGGTAGAAACGTAGTCCGCCTAGCGATGGAAAAACTGGAGGAAAATCTAAACCGCTGTTGATGAACTACTACCTATATTCTATATCACTCTAGTCCATGAGCCTGCCGTATGGTAATTGGGTTTGCTACATGATCTAATTTTCGGATAAACGTTATACCTCCCTCAAATGTCAGCTATATATCCATCGAACCATAAGAAACCACCCATTATTGCCTTGGATTAATTATCATAGAAAGTAGTGAATGAGATGGGCAATTATCCATTATTTTCGCTGGATAGGCAGCAACACCAATGCCCCAGGTGAGTCCGTATTACACTTTACTAAAGAAAAAATGTGCAATATATGACATTCAGATCTTTGTATTCATAGAATGTCCACTGACATTTAAAGCTCTTTTATGGTTGAAGGAATTCACAAATTATTCAAAGAAGGTATTCTAGAAATAGAAAATTATTCAGTGATTACTTGATTCAGTGTAGCATTTATTTGTAGGGATGTGTGTGTTTACTGTTTTAGGTAAGCCAGCTTGATCCCTTTCTTGTTGTTTTAAAAATAAAAACAACAAGATTTTTAAAGTGGGTTATGGTCACATGGATTACTTTCGGGAAAGGCAGAGAAGACTATAGTTTCGGATTTCGCCACAAAAAGTTTAGATATTGTCCCAGGGAGTCATGTATCACTCCACTAAACAAAAAACTCTTCTTTCCCAATTTTGTTACATCCACAACGTCAAGCCTAAGTACTTTTACAGAACGCTCTGTTTGAGAATTATCAAAAAGTCTCAGATTACCTTTTAAACTTATTCCTCATGTAGACAACAGTTCAAATAGGATCTGGAATTTATTTCGATAATGCTCTTCTATTGTAAAAAACGATTTGGCACACCATCATACAAGAAAATAGTTGTACTTCGCTCGAATAAAAAAACGACATACATACGTATATATAAACTTTCAAACCTATTGAAATAACTAACACATAAAGCAGTAATAAACCAGATTATTATCATTTAATTGGCAAACATAGAACAATACAGACTCAACATTAAATTACATATGACTAAGAAAAGAACCTTTTCTGACGTTTAGGTTAAATTTCATCACAACTCAAGTACGAATTTTATCATCTATCTTTCCTATTCTCTCCCTCCTCATCACCGTATATTTCTGCTGTTTAATATCTAAATGATTCTTTGTTACGTATGCCAAAAAAATGGCATTATTGTCAGCCTCCCCTGTTGCTTATCTGCCTTTTATGATAATGGGAATATTTGTTTGCAGATAAAATGAACACACGATATACAAACATATGTATGTATATACGCAGAAGAAGTTATCAGCACAAAGGTAGCCAGCCTCAAGCAATTATATTTCCGGTATTTGCATACGAATATCAAGGTTTACTGAACTAATCAAGCAATCGTTCAAATCGATAAAAAAAACACAAAATAGTCATAGCGGGTGACAACATAGCTATTTCAGCGAAAAAGAAGAAGATGATGAGGAGGAAAGAAACGCCTTTATCTGATAAAGGGATCAAATTTGATAAAAGGCAACAAAAATGTAAAGAACTTATAAACCCAAAACAGTTTAGGGGAGAGGGGGGCACCTTTGAACACTTTTTGCTTTCAAGCCTTATAAATTTTTTTATTTTATAATTTTTGGTTTCGTATAAATTTTAACTAATAGGTACATATGTAACCTTTAAAATGAATATACATATGACATACTATAAGCTTGATAAATATATTTTGTTACTGTTTTAATGGACGAAGTCAAAGTGTTCAAAACTGCCCCCCGGGGGGCAGCTTTGAACAAGGGTTGTCATTTTTGAACGACATGGTTTTTTACAGTGTTTATGTTTGAATATGTATGTATTTTATTCATACGTATCAGAAATGCATTTATTCATTAAAAAATGTATAAAAACTTTTCAAAATTTAAAAAAATTAGATCAAAATTTATTAAAACATAAAATTACTTAACCCTGCTACTATGTTAGAAAAAAAACACATATGTTACGTTGGGGTCATATTTTGACCCCCACTTTTTTATTGATGAAATTTAAATATGTTAATTTAAAAAAGTTTTTTTAAGGCTTGTGATTTTTGAACGTTTTTCGTTCCTTCTTCGATGGACAAAATTTACACCTTTTCCGGTTACTAAGGCGTTGTCGTTCTGGAGAAGGCGAACTCGTAGATGGTGATTCTTCTCGAATTCTTTGTACTATAGTTGCAGAGGCTTCTGCGCGGGGAAGTCGACAACGTCTTTTGATGTGGTCATGAGCTAAAGCTTCACCAAGTTGCTCTAAAAATAGGCGCCTTTTGTGCAATTTATTTCTTTGCCATTCAGGATTTATTTCGGTCCACATTATAAATGCGTTGAGAGCAGAAATATCTACTAAATTTGAGAACAGAGCAACTGGCCACCGATTGGTTTTTCTTTTGAACGAGTATGTACGAACCATTTGGT